GTGCCAGACGCCAGCGGTGAACCGACGCATACGTTTGCCTCCTCCGTGCCAGCGCCTGGGCCCCAAGAAGGCGATGCGCGGACCTCTCGGGCCCCACCTCCTCCTCCTCCTCCTCCTCCTCCTCGTCCTCCTCCTCCTCCTCCTCCTCCTCCTCCTCCTCCCCCCTCCTCCCTCCTCCCTTTCCCTCCTCCCTCCTCCCTCCTCCCTCCTCTCTCTTCCTTCCTCCCTCGTGCCCGACGTCGTGGGCCTCTCGGGCCCCACGTCGTTCCCGGGCGGAGCGCATCCAAGGATCGGCACGAACGACATGGGTACGGAAAGACTGGGTACACTGCCCAACAGCGTTTCTTGTTCACTCTGAACAGGACTCGCTGTCCGCGCCGCCGCGGCCGGTGTCCATTCGAGACAGAGGGCCGCCTGCCCAACAGCGGCCGCTGTTGGTTTGGGACAACATTTGATGTTGGGCATTGTACCCATTCTTTCCGTACCCATTTCGGGCGTCAAAAAAAAGGAGACCCCAAGACGCCCTCGATTCCCCTCGATGGGGGCTCCCAGCGTCGGCTGGTAGCCCCACGGTGCCGCGAGGGGCTCCAACAAGACGCCCTGCTCCCGCCCTCGGGTAGCCCCTCGCGCGCCCCTGAATCAACAACTGATTTTAGCGTTCTCGCCTTTTCGGGCCCTCGACGCTTCAAGACGGCCCACGAGGCCCCAAGCCCGCCCCAAGACGGCCCAACAGGCTCCGAAGAAGGCTCCAAGCGGGCCCAAAACGGGGCCCAAGATGGGAGCTCAAACCGACATTTGAAAGCCCTCCGCCCCGAGATGGCCCCGGGGATCGCCAGCAGGCCCTACCAGCCCCCAAAGACGCCCCAGAAGCCCCAGAAGCCTCCAGGATGCCCACAAGAGCCCCTAGAGACCCCCAAGAGGCCCTTCAGAGGCCCGAAGACAAACCCAAAACCGTCTCCAAGATGCTTCCCAGAAGCCTGCCGAGAGATTCGAACGCGTGCTTGCGCGAAGCGCGCGTGGTTCTAGTATGTGTGTATATATATATATATATAGATGTATGTGTATATTGATGTAGGTGTAAGTCAGTGTGTTGTCTTTCTATCTCCCTCTCTCTCATGTGTATATAGATGTGCATATGTACATAGGTATGTATATGTGTATATGGACACGGTTTCTCTGTTTGTCTTTTCCCTCTCTGCCTCGAGCCCTCCCTCTCGTTCTGTCCTTGAGCCTTTCCTAGGAAGTGCGCCTCCCCAGTGATGCCGAACTTCTGGGCTTGTCGAAGCCAGGCAAAGCCGCCAGAGAGCATGACCAGCTGGAATCTCGAAACGGATGGTGACTGTCAGAAAGGCCGTGCCTCATGCCACACGCAAACGTTGGCCGCGCTGGCAACTTGGTCGTTGCCTGGCGAACTAGAGCGGCATCACCCGAGGTTGCGCCATGTTTGCACATCTGTAGATACGTAAGCATTGCCGTATGTAGGCATCTGCGTGTAAGCGTGTACATGCATGGTTTTGTCAGGAGGAGGAGTTCTACGACCCCGACGACGGATTTATCGACGACGCAGATCTGGAGGACTTGAACGCATGCGATGCGGAGGATGCTGCTGGGGCCACTCAAGGACATCGTGTGCTCCGCGCTGCCCTTTGCCATCTTGCTGCTGCTTCGCACGAACGCCTCCTGCTGCTGCATCCCGTCGCTTTATCCTCGAGCCAGATCAGGTCACGCGCGCCACACGCTAGCATCTGGGCCCTGCGCGTCAAAAGCAAGTGCGCTGAATATCTCACCGATGCTCCTATGCACCACCCGCCTCCTGGCTCAGGGACGTCCCGAGAAGCCGTTGGAGAGGAATCCTCTGGCCACTCCGCCGCTGCTTGCCAAATTCCCCATGCATCCACCAGTCAACCCCGAGGAGGAGGAGGAGGCGGAGGAGGAGAAGGCGGAGGAGGAGGCGAGGAGGAGGAGGAGGAGGAGGCGGAGGAGGAGGTGGTCTCTACATACGAAACATGCCAAGTGAAGATGCCAATGGGCTGCGGCGTGCTGGGCGGCGGGGCACTCTGCGAGTGGATGTCTGCCAGCGGAGGGCGCCCAGGCCCGCTTGCAAGACGGGATCCGCCAAGTGAAGACTGCTCGCAGGGCATATTCTGGGGGAGGAGGAGGAGGAGGAGGAAAAGGAGGAGGAAAAGGATGAGGATGATGATGATGATGAGGAGGAGGAGGAGGAAAAGGATGAGGAGGAGGAGGAGGAGGGGGAGCGTTGTGGTCGGAATGCCCATCCAGAGATGCGGGTTGCTGCAGCGATGGTCGCTCGAGGCAATGGCGGTCTGGACTGGCGGGGATGCCTGGGGCACGGGGTGACCCAGCCAGACGTCACACTTCTTCTGGGAGCGATGGCCCCCTCGTTCTCTGGTCTCTTTCCTCCCATGGGTGCCAGTTCGCCGTCTTCCTATCCTGCCGTGCGCGATGCCGCGGTGCTCCCCTCCCGCGCGTTCCCTTCCTTCTGCCGGCTCCCGCTTCTTCGAGGCATCCCCCGCGGGCCCGTTCTCGCCGACCTCCGCGCGCGTCCCGCCTGTCTGTCTCTCTCTGCCCACCTGTCCGCCATCTGCTTACCAGCCTCGAGCGTGTCCCTATCCCTGATATTGGCACGCCAAGAGGCGATGACGATCTTAGGGATCCGCCCTCCAAAAAACAAGGGAATCCCTAGGACTGGTGTCGTGATGAGGAGGTGCCCAGCACAGGGATAGGGATATGTTCCAGGCTGGTAACGCTCGGCCCGGGCCTCTCTCTCTCTCTCTCGGGGAGCCGCGCTCGGCGGATGCTCCGCCGCGGCACCGCGCGCGCCCCAAGGGGGCAGCGTCGGGCCGCTCCGCCCCCTCGCCCCAGCATGCCCCGCCGAAGCGGGCAGTATTAAGTCGGGCCTGTCCCCCCAATAAAGAGTAATAATAATTCTGTTGAATGTTTTCAATTTGATTTTTTATATTTAAAAAACCTAATAAGGAGGATGTTTGGGGCGAAAAATAAAAAATGCTCCAACAATACCCTCGAATACCGTCCTTTGCTCGCGTCCGTCAGCCTTTCTCTGCCCGCCGGCCAGCCCCTCTGCCCGTCTGGCCGGCCCGCCCGTGTCCGGCTCCTCTGCCCGCCTCTGCGCGTCCGTCTTTGAGCGCGTGCCTGGACGATCAGCGTGTTTCACTCTGCACGCTCGGCGTCGCCAGGCTGGCCACTTGTCAGGAGAGGGAAAAACACACAGACAATGAATCCTCGATGCCCCAGAAACTATGGGAAAACATGGGAGGCTGGGGGGAAGCCAGAAGCCCAGAACATATGGGAAAGTATGGGGAATATGTTTATATGTGTGTGTGTGTGTGTTTATTTGTGTGTCCCAGGGCCCCTTCAACATGCCTCCTTTGCTCCCCCATGCCCGCTCTCTCTATACAAGAGTGCCCCCCTTCCCGCTCCGCGTCACTGATGTGCTCTTCGGCCACGGTTCGGCTCCATCTCATCAGAGTGCTTCATCCAGTGGCTGTGGATCGCTTGCCCGCAGCGCGGGGGTTCGATGCGTACGTTCTTCTTGCAACAGTTCCGCATCTGGAAGTCCGCGCGTGCGTGCGTGCGCGCGCGCGTGTGTGTGTGTGTGTGTATGTGTGTGAACGTCTGCGCGATTCTCTGCACAGATCATCGAGGTTTCACTGGTGGACGTCGATCTCGCTCTCGTCCTCGTCATAAGCCAGGCCCGTTTTTACACGTCGCTAAGGTAGCTTGAGTACGTCCGCGCCAAGTCTCCACTGGTACCTGCTCCATCGTGTCACACGGACTGGGGCCAGCGAATAGACCGTTGACATTTCCTTGTGCAGCTTCGTCTGAGCAGCGCCCGTACGCCTGGTCACTTCGCTCGGCTGGCAGCGACCGTGACAGGGGACGCGATTATGTCCTCACTAAGGGAAACGTATGTACAGTCTGCGCCTGCGCTGAGACTGCTTCCTTTTCTGTTGTGGCAGGGATGGACGAACCTGATAACCTATCTGCTCATGCCCATCCCCTGGGGGGACGGAGCCCGCGCAGGAAGTCGGGACGCCCCCCAGAGACGCGTGCGCCTTGAGGGCTGCGCTCAGTGTAGTCAGAGAGGGAGAGAGAGAGAGAGGGAGAGAGAGGGAGAGGGAGGGAGAGCTCCACACGTGCAGGAGTTCCCTCCCCCTGGAGCTGCTACATCTTCTGCCCCTCCCCTTGCGACACGAGGGCCGCAGTGGGGAAGCCCCCCCCGCTTCGACACACGGTCCAGGGCGGCGAGAAACCAGACAGAAGATGTGCCGGCACCGCGGGAGCGAGCTCGACGCCGGCCCACGGTGCCCAGTTGCCCCGATGGCACACAGGGCCGGAGCACCGGTCACGCTGCAGTGGGAAGGCGACCGTAAGCACTCAAATGACCGGACGCATGGGTACAAAAAGTCAGAGAATGACACGCGTTGACGACTAGAGAGTTGGCACGAAGCGAGCGAGATGAGAGTAGAGTAGCCGAATGCCGTGACGATGTGCACCTGCGGGGCGACGACGACGACGACGACAGAGCCCAGCGGCGAGGAGGAAGATGTCGACGCGCACTTGTGGTGAGGCGGAACCCTTCCCATTCGAACCATTCGTCGAAGAAGAAACAATGCCATCAACACACTTTTGGCGCTCCGCGCGGATTTCTTGGATCCGCGCTGGACCCCCCCAGCGGCGCCTCCGTCGCCGCCCCTGGCGCCGCCCCTGGCGCGCTCCGCGCGCCAGGGAGGGGGGCCCAACGCAGATCCAAGAAGCCCGCGCGGAGCGCCAAGCGTTTAAGCTCATGCTTTTTTTTGTTCCTCTGGGATGCGGAGCTCTTCCCAGTCGAACCATTTGGGGGCGCTTGGCGGGAACAGCGGAAGCGATGTGAGCCCAACGCCTGGATTTCTCAAGGCTCATCTTCAGCCACGCGCGGAGGGGGGGTAGGGGGGGGGGAAGGTTTCTTAGAAGGAGGCTGCTTCTTAGAAGGGGCAGGCCTTCTCTACAGAGTAAGGCCAGCGCCTTCTAAGAAGCAGCCTCCTTCTCAGAAGCCTTCCCCCCTCCCCCTACCCCGCTCTGCGCGCCGCCAACATCTGCCCGGAGCGCGGGAGCCGGAGCACTGACAGCGCCTCCCCACCCCCGGCACGAGATGGCACGGGGAATTCAGACAGTGCCCTCAAACACATGTGTTTTTTTCAGGATCAAGGCGAAGAATGCGGTGGTTGCGACGGACGCCGCGCGAGGCGGCTCACGGGTCAAAATGCATACGGTTCGGGTGCACGGTGCGTTGATGCTTCCCCTCGCCATGCACTGCTAACTACGACTCTGGTTGCCACAAGCCTGCTTCGCAGACCTGGCGTGCCACCCACAGGCGCGCCAGTGCTAGGAGACTGGTTTTGTGAATTCAAAAAGCAGCTTGCTTCCACGGTGCCCTGGCTTTCTTGGATTTCGATGGATTTCGATGGCTCTACGATGGAAAACGTGAGGTCCTCATGCAGAACATTCATGGGCATCCTGGGGTCCCAGGCATCGGGTTTCTCCTGAAGGGCTTCTTGTGGTCGAGCTCCTACTGTACCACCTCAGCCCGAAGGGGCTGCCCTTCATGACCAGGAAGGTTTAGCCGCCGCCCAAACATGGGCTGCTCATCACGATAAAGGCCTTCCTGCCCCGCACAAAACGGGCTGCTCGTCACGAGTAGGGTTAGGCCGGGCATGTCTTTCTACAGGCGGATTTGGGGAACAAATAGCACGGTCGAACAATTGTCAAACATATTCAAAACAACAACATGATTTGTCTGGCCTCTCTCGGGGGACAATGTCTTCTTGTTTCGACTGTTCTTACTGTTTCTTTCAAGATCCGCCTGTATGAGGACATGCCCGACTTAATTCAGGAGGGAAAACAACACACAGACACAGTGAATCGTCGATTCTCCAGAAAATACGGGAAAATGTTGGAAATGGGGGGAAAGACGAAAACCCTCAAAACATGAGAACATATGGGGGATCCTGCTATATATATATATATATATATATATATATATATATACGTATATAGATGTGTGTGTGTGTATTTCTTTGTGTGCCCTTGGGCCCCTTGATTAATGCCAGGGGGAAAAGCGCGGACGGGGGGCGTGCTCTCCTCCTGGCTTCGGGCGTCGCTGGGAGCGCCCCTGGCTCAAAGCGCCCCCCTCCCTCCTCCTCCTCCTCCTCCCTCCTCCTCTCCTCCCTCCTCCTCCCTCCTCCTCCTCCTCCTCCTCCTCCTCCTCCTCGGCGGTGCGGGCTCGACGGCGGGGGGGCTCGAAAGCCCTGGCCGCCCCCACGAAGGCCGGGAGCAGCACCGGCAGAGGCGCGCCCCCCCCCCCCCCCAATGGTGGAGGAGCGCGGCCAGGCACGCCCGTTGGTAGGACGACGCTAGGGGGCCACATGCGAACCCTACCCCTACCCCCACGATTTCTGAAGGGGAGGGTGGGGTTCACTTCGCTCGGGAGCTCCCGCACGAAGTGCACCACACCCTCCCCCTCAGAAATCGTGGGGGTTAGGGGTAGGTTTCGCATGTGGCCCCCTAGACGCGGCGCGGGAGGGGAGCGACGGGACGAGAAAGGGGAACAATCAGGAGGGGAGAGAAACACACAGGCACAACGAATCGTCGATTCCCCCGAAAATGTGGGGACATATGGGAAGTGGGGGGGGAAGACGAAAGCCCCAGAAAATGCGGGCGCGACGGGGCGAGAATCGGGGGACGAAGAATGACATAAACATAAAAACTCGGAGGTCCGCGCGGATTTCTCGGAGCGGTGCTGGGGCCCAACCGGCGGCGCCTCCAGTGCCGATCCGAGAAATCCGCGCGGACCTCTTAGTTTTTATGTTTATGTCATTATTCGTTCCCCTAGAGACGGGGAACAAGGGGCGGAGGAGCGAGAAGGCGTCTGTGCAAAACCACTGCGACATCGACCGCTCATCACCCGTAACCTCCTCCTCCTCTTTCCTCCTCCTTCCTCCCTCCTGCTCCTCCTGCTCCTCCTCCTCCTCCTCCTCCTCCTCCTCCCCCTCCCCCTCCCTCGTCCTCATCGTCCCTCGACTCGTGTCATTTTGGGCAGTTAAGCATTCCGCGTGCACTGTTGCCTTCATTCCCGGCCCATGCTGCCACGTCGCCCTTTTGTTGTCGCAGTTTTTTCAGGCCAAGAAAGGACAATGGGGCATACAGAAGGGATCGAAGAGGATGTGATTGGCAAGTCGAAGGAATGGAACATAAGAGTAATTAGACGTGTGGGCACTGTTCGAGCAGCGCTATTCCGAGACGCGACTCGCATCATGATGCGTCTCCGCTAGGCGGGCCTGAACCTCAGAAACCCGTGCCGTCAAGGCACCTCGCACGACCTGGACTTCGCGAAACTGCCTTTGCAGGTGTCCCAGCGTCGCCCGCAAGGCCTGAACCTCAGAAGCCGAGGGGGCGGAGTCGTCAACCGAAGCGGTGCCCAGCCGGCCGGTCTGGGTCCGTGCAACACACAGCTCAGCCACGGACATTCCGAGCGGAGAGACTCTGGTGGTTAGACCAGAGCATCTACAACGCACGTGCAGTACATAAATGCAGATGTAAGCCGAATGGTACAATAATGAATGGATAACCATCGGAATGTGATTAATCATGTTCGTGGTCATAATATTCATTCGAATGCGAGTAATAATTCCAATCGTAATCATTTCGTGAATAAGAAGAAGACGCATGCAAACACTGTGCACAAATATTTGAACATATGGGTCTACGGTGAGATACAGAGGCATGACGATGAACATCATGAAGCACGCCTGGGGAGGGGGGACAGAGAGGGAGCGAGAGAGAGAACAACAACAAAACCAAAAACACTGCTTCACCCGTGGGTTGGAGATGCCACTTGCTGAGCTCATTGTGTGGTGGGACAACCTCTACGAGAGCAAAGAAGTCTCGCTGCCCAAGGCAGAGCAAAGAAGTCTGATAACACGTGGACAGGGACGGACAAACCTGACAACCTATCTGTATATGCCCACCAGCTGGGGGACGGAGCCCTCATTGGAAGTTGGGACGCCCCCTCCCCCCCCCCGGAGACGCGTGCGCCTTGAGGGCTGCGCACAGTGTAGTCCGATGACAAGAGAGAGAGAGAGAGGGAGAGAGAGAGAGGGAGAGAGAGGGAGAGAAGAGAGACAGAGAGAGAGAGAGAGACAGAGAGAGGGAAAGAGAGCAAGAGAGAGAAGGACAGCTCAACACCTGTAGCAGCTCCTTCCCGAGGTCACTGCTACATTTTCCCCAGGGGGGGGGCATGTACAGATAGGTTGTCAGTCTCGTCCATCCCTTCCACAACTGCAGACCGGCCAGTCGCCAGAGTAGCAAGCCCGAGGATGCGAGGATATGGTTAACGGCGTTTGAAGATACGCGCACGCTGCGGCAAACAACTTATCAACAGTGACCTCGTTTCGCGCATCGCCGACTTGCCGCATGCACCTCAGCAGGAGATGATCACTGACCACATGGTCACATAATGTTGTAGCCATCTCTGCCAACACCGATTCCAGTTACCCCAGGATCGTTCCGAAATTTATTCTATCGCGCACGCGCACCCACAAGGATGCTCTCCAGCTGTTCTGAGCGGTTTGCATTGCTGCGCTCGACCCCTAAGAAATTCAGACACCAGGGAATCCCTTTCGAACCCACTGAGGCACAATGTGACTCGCCTTTGTTTTGAAGCGCCTGTGAATCTATCGGCCCCAAACAGTGACCCTGAACATAGTGCGGCGTTGGAGGCTGCTGGGTTCCTCAGCAACCAGCCTCCATTTCCTCACATCGCGCTCGTGCATCAACGACACTGCGGGCGCCTTTTCCCGACAATGGCCCATTTCAGTTGGCCAGGTCGGGTTCCTGGGCCACGACATCCAAACCGAAAGCATAGACCTCGCATCCCTCTCCGACGCCGTGGTCATCATTGACCGCAACATCCGAGTCCATCATTCGTAGTGCCTCCGGGACGCTAGTCCTGTGCCCGCGTACGGCGGTGACTCCTGCTGTGATCCTCCACCGGCTCCAGCATGCCTGATCTTTGTGGGCCCCGGAAACGGCAGGGCCGTTTTTTCACCGTTTCCAACAAACTGTCCCTTGAAAATGGAAACGGCAAAAAAACGGCGACCGGAAACGGCAAAAAAACGGCTCCAGGATTGGAACCGGAGCTGGAACCGGTCAACAAACGGCGACGGAACCGGTAAAAAAACGGCGTCGGAACCGGCAAGAAAACGGCAAAACGGAATGGGTAAAAAAACGGCCCTGTCGTTTCCAGGGCCCACTAAGTGCCTGCTCCCAGTCCAACGCAACGTCATCCTGCTGCGCGCCACCGCGTTCTGAGGGCCTCGCTCGGTCGGGCCCGCCGCTCGGCGTGGCGGGCGCACCTCCTGGGGAGCCGCTCCTTGCTGACGGCCCGCCTGTTACGGCCTTTCCTCCCTCCTTGCCTCGCCTTTGCGCTTCCTGCTCCCCGCTCCTGGCCCCGGCCTTTCCAGTCCCTGCTCGCTACCTTGCCGGTGCTGCCGTCTCCCATCTCCCTCCAGCTCTCGGCGCGCTCTGGTCCCCGTCCTCCCATTCTGCTCCTCCTCCTCCTCCTCCTCCTCCTCCTCCTCCTCCTCCTCCTCCCTCTCTTCCTCCTCCTCCTCCTCCTCCTCCTCCTCCTCCTCCTCCTTCTCCTCCTCCTCCTCCTCCTCCTCCTCCTCCTCCTCCTCCTCCTCCTCCTCCTCCTCCCCCTCCTCTTCCTAGGCCGCCGTCCGCTCCCTCCTCCTCCAGCCCCACCCCCCTGCCTGTCACTGCACCCGCACTGGACACCCTCGTCGCATTCGGGCTGCTTGCCAGCATTTTGCCGGTGTTGCGCGCGGGCGTTGCTTTGTCCAGCAGTGCGAGGGCCCGTCTGCTCTCTCTCGGTCGCTGGCCGGGCGGGGACCCTACAGGAGACGCCGACGCGCCACCCGATTCCCAGTGCAGCGCACGTGGTGCTGGCGGCGTGGAGGCGCAGCTGAACGTTCGAGGCTTCCGGCTCACGAACGGCCTCGCACCTAGCGGCGCGGCATCGTGTGGGCAGGGCTTGTTGGGCATGACGGACGGGGACGAGGTGGGGAGGCGTGATGCGACAGGCCTCAGGACCGAGCCGAGGAATTAGAATTAGAGGCAGGAGCAGATTACCCGAGGGATTTGGTCAGACACGATCAGACGAGAGAGAGACGGGACGGACTGGAACGCGGACGTTGCCCCCACGACCTTATCCTTTATTGTGTACGGCCTGGTGGCCACTAGTGGCTCTGGAGGTCGGCGCTGTGCAAGGAGTTGTTTTGCGATATTTGGCGAGTGTCCTTCGAGGGTTTGGTTGGCGTGCAGTCAACTGTGAGTGGTTTTAAGGATTGCAATCAAGCGAATATCCATGTGCAACACCAAGCTGACCGGGATGGCGGCGCCACATGGTGCTCTTTCGGGCGTTTTTTCATCCACCTCATCCTGCTTCTCACCTTGTCATCCTGCTCCTCCAGATCCTTTGTATGCGACCTGTGGACGCAATATGCTTTCATGCGATGCTAAGGTGAGGTGTCTGGTACATCTGCCGAGTACCTTGGGAGTCATATATTTTTCTGCTGGTGTTGTCTGGGAGGGGCAGGGAAGGGAATGGAGCAGGGGGGGCCGAATGTGCAGGAGGACAGGGGAGTGATGATATGAGAGGGTATCGCAAGGACGTTGCGCGGGGGTCCTCGCCTCCAGTGAGCATTTGCCGCCTCCCCCTTGAAGCCATCCATCTTGTAGGTGCTGAGGCTGCCAGGCAGGGTCGGCCTCGCGAGAGCTACGTCGGAGCGCGTTGATATCACCCCTCCTCCTCCTCCTCCTCCTCCTCCTCCTCCTTGTCCTCCTCCTCCTCCTCCTCCTCCTCCTCTTCCTCCTCCTCCTCCTCCTCTCCCCCTCCTCCTCCTCCTCCTCCTCCTCCTCCAGACTGTCGTCTCACTTCCACGCATCATTACGCATCGGCTTTTAGATGCACCAGAAGGCGTGCAGCTCGAAACAATCCCACAGGGGGCTGCACCACAGCCGCCAACCCAGTGGGTGTTTCGCGTGAAAGAATCTCGGGCGCCCGAGCACTGTTTGCAGGGGGCACCGCTTGCAAGAATGCGTGGCCGGGAGGGGGTGATGGTGGCATTGTACCCTTGTTTTCCGTACCCATTTCGGGCGTCCAAAGGGATGGTCTGGAGCCCGTCTCGGGGTCATTTTGGTTGTCTTGGGCGTCTCTTGGGCCTCTCCGGGGCCGCGTGGAGACGTCGTGAGGCCCTCCTGACAGCGTCGGGAGCTCTCTGGGCCAGCTTCTGCCAGAAGTGCAAGTTTTCCATCCGGAGGGTGTTTTTTGTTGGGGACCTCGTGGGGGGTCTTTGGAAGCCCTCGGGTGGCGTCTCGGGGGCTTCGTGGTCTGTCTTGAAGCCATTTCAGGGCGACTGGGTGCCATCTGGGATCGTCCAGGAAATCCCCAGAGCCATGTCGAAGCCATGCAGGTCCTCCAGGAGCATTTTTGAAGCGGTTGAGTCCGCCGGCTTTTGATGCACTGATCCCCCTTCCAAACTGGCATGACGGACCCCACCCTTCCGGGAGGGGCTTGTGGAGGGAGGACAGTCTCGCGCGCCGCATGCCCCGAGGGGGATCGGCGGCTTCCTGCTGAGACATGGCTCTCTGTCGGGGAGGAGGGCAGAGACCGCGCTCCCTCCCCATCCATTTCCATCCCCCCGTCCACTCCACGTCGGTCTCCTCTGCTTCCCCCCCTCCCGCCTCCTCCCGCCCCTGCAGTGATCCTGGCTGCGACGGCCGAGGTCGCTGCCCCACCCTCCCGCTGGACAGCGCCCCGCGCCTCCTCCTCCTCCTCCTCCTCCTCCTCCTCCTCCTCCTCCTCCTCCTCCCTCCTCCCTCCTCCTTCCTCCTCCTCCTCCTCCTCCTCCCCTCCTCCTCCTCCTCCCCCTCCTCCCTCCTCCTCCTCCTCCTCCTCCTCCTCCTCTTCCCCCTCCTCCTCCTCCTCCTCCTCCTCCTCCTCCTCCTCCCCTCCTCCTCCTCCTCCTCCTCCCTCCTCCTCCTCCTCCTCCTCCTCCTCCCTCCTCCTCCCTCCTCCTCCTCCTCCTCCTCCTCCTCCTCCTCCTCCTCCTCCTCCTCCTCCTCCTCCTACTCCTCCTCCCCCTCCTCCTCCTCCCCCTCCTCCTCCTCCTCCTCCTCCTCCTCCTCCTCCTCCTCCCCCTCCTCCTCCTCTTCCCCCTCCTCCTCCTCCTCCTCCTCCTCCTCCTCCACCCCTCCTCCTCCTCCTCCTCTCTCCTCCTCCCCCTCCTCCTCCTCCTCCCCCTCCTCCTCCTCCTCCTCCTCCCCTCCTCCTCCTCCTCCTCCTCCTCCCATTCCTCCTCCCCCTCCTCCTCCTCCTCCTCCTCCTCCTCCTCCTCCTCCTCCTCTCCTCCTCCTCCCCCCCTCCTCCTCCTCCTCCTCATCCTCCTCCCCCTCCTCCTCCTCCTCCTCCTCCGTAGCCATTTTGGCTCAAGGCTATGAACCGTCCCGACGACCGCGAGTCTTTCGGGGCGTCCTCAGAGCGCGAGGGAGGTTCCGCTTTGAGGCCACGTGCGTCTACTGTCCGCCTGTCTCTGGCACTCTTTGTCGGCTTTTACTGCGGGACTTGGGCCCCCGCCTGCTCCATCCCAGTCCCATGCAGACCACCACCGATGGCTGATGGCGCCGCCGACTGCGAGCTCTCCGTCTCCCAGGCTGAGATGCTTGAGTCCATGCCGACCTTCCCGTCCCAGGAGAGCAAGGCAGGCCAAGGCAAGGGCTCCGCTCCTCCGCGCACCGCCAGCTGCGCAGCTCACAAACGTCGTGCTCTTCCTCCTCATGGTTCCCCTGCTGTCACTGTCGTGGACGACGACATGCCGCCCCGCCTCGACGACGACGACGACTCCTCGGAGGACTACATCAAACAGTGCTGCGCCGACATGTTGGCCAGAATGCGTGAAGAGCTCGCCATCGACATCAGCAAGTCCCTCACGGACACCAGCAAGCAGAAGATTGAAGTGCAGAACAAACCAACCATCGACTTGCTGGACCAACTTCGTGCCCAGCTGGCGCAGCCTCCCGCTGACCTCGACCAGAAGATCCTCTCGATTGTACGCCCCCAGCTCGACACCACCACGCGTCGTCTCCAGGCACAGCTCGACGCTCAGCAGACGCAGATCAACGAGACCGACGGCCGCGTGTCCAAGGTCGAGGCCCAGATGCAGGATGTCCTTGCCCAGATGGAGGCGCTCAGGAAGGAGCTCCACATCGCCGAGCAGCGCCCCCGCGCCCCGCTCACCCAGCCGAAGGGCTTCGACAGGGAAGTGGATGCTTCGCTGGTCGTGGCCATGGCCCAACGCCCTACTACGACGGCCTGTGTCGAAGCTGAACTACGCCCGTGGATCGCCTCCCTCGGCCTCGCCGACGACCTCTACGACCTCGTCCCCGTCGGCCCTGTGCCGACCAAGAAGTTCCACATCCGCTTCAAGGGCCTCATCGCCGTCGCGTCCAGGATGGCGGCCAAGGTGCTTGGTGCCCTGCGCACTGATGGCACCTGGAAGGAGTTCACTGTCGAGGTCCCTGGCAGCCCTCGCTGCCGCATCCACTTGGGCCCCGACAAGTCGCCACGCCAGATTCGCTGCGAGATTCTGTTGCGGAGAGCACGTACTATCATTGCCGAACGTCGCCCGAACCTCCGACTGTTCACCGACAGAGAGCGTGCCACGCTATCCATTGGATGGGATCGTATCATGCGTGTGGAAGCCCATCCTGGCAACAAGCCCGCCGAGTTCTACTGGGACAACCAGCAGCTCGCCAAGCACGACCTCGTCAAAGCCGAGCTCGTGTCGCTGCTCGCCCCCCTTGTCGAACCTGAGGCGGAACCACAGTGGTGCCTTTGACGTATGGAAATTGTTCACATGTACATCACCTTCTCCTGCCTCGCCGGTGTCTGCCATGAGGGTTGTCACGTGGAATGCGCGAGCATTGCTCCAGCACGCTGGCAAGAATGGCGCCCGCAAATTCAACTACCTACTTCGCCTCCAGCCCGCACGCTCCATTGTGTGCCTGCAGGAGGTCAGGCAGGACGCTCTTCAACCTCGTGAGTTCCTCGGCCCTTTGGGTGAGTCGCTGACAGTGCACTCGTCGTTCTGCGGTGACTCAGGTGCGGACCGTGTCCGTGGGGGTGTGGCCGTTCTTCTTCCCCAGTTTTGTCAGGCAGCTGGAGAACGTGTGCGAAGTCATGCGGTGGCTCTCGTGCCTGGTCGCGTTTTGCGGGTCACCGTCGTGTGTGGCCCGATCTGCATGGAGATCTTCAACATTCACAACCACGACCTGAAGCAGAAGCAAGTCAAGGAGATAGTCGAGATCTTCCTCGAGGCTCGTGCTGCTGCGCTCAGGGCGCCCTCCCAGCGGCTCGTGCTGGTTGTGGGCGACTTCAACTTTGCCGCGGAGGATGCTGTGGTTCTTCATTTACCACAGGCCGCTGTTCGGCGCGCTGCACGTCAACATCATGGGCAGGCTCAGGTCTGGAGGCGAGCTCTCTCGCAGCTCGTCGAAGTGGAGTGCGATTTGGGGTCGCACTATGAGAAAACAGTCCAACTCTGAGGCCGCGATCGACCGCCTCTTCCTCTCTCTCCCTGGTTGGATGGTCTGTCAACATCATTTGCAGGCTGCTACTGTTGGCTCTGCAGCTGCCGTCTCTGATGCCGTCGTCTCGGATCATGCCGCGGTCGTGGTCACCATCACCCCCCGTGCTGCCCGTCCCCCTGCCGAGCGTCCTCTTGCCAAACATCTCTTCCATGACCAGTGCTACCTGAGCCGCGTCCGTGCCATGGTTGATTGTGCTGATTGGGGCAGTATGTCGCCCCCATATCGACTGGAACATTTGAAATATCTCATGAAAGAAGCTGCGCGTGAAGCCCGTGATAATGACTTTCGACGGCGCCCCCATCATCCATCCACCCTGCTGCAGCTCGCTCGCTCAATGGCCAGAGTTGTGCGGCGGCAAGATGTGAAGCTCGCTTGGA